TTAACTTTAAGTAAATGACACAGGATTAGAATACAACCTGGGTTCTAGTTCTGAAACTGTAATTTACTAATGATAGACATAAAGTCACACGTCACTGCATTTTCCTAAAGTCCATTTACCCATCTGTAAAACTGAAAATTCATATTTTCCCTGCCAGTCTCACAGAGCTCATTCATCTATACATTTAATGCAAGCGCACAGAACTCCTACTATATAGCAGATACCATCCTAGGACATATCCTACAATTAGCAGGTAACAATTCACATAGCTTTTGCAGTAATTACCTTTAAAGATGAAAACAGAGAGGAAATAAGTAAATAAAAGAATACTGGAATGGGGTGGTGCATTTTTCATAGGAGTGACAGTTCTGCTTGGATCTACAGATGAGAAGGAGTTTACTCTAGAGCAGTAGTGGGAGAGCAAGAGAAGTTCTAGCAACATTAATAAACAACCCATTTCTACCATTTTGATGCTTGCTAAAAAGAAGTCCATTGAGAATATATACAGCAAGGTTCATACCTTGAAACAAGATGATGAGAAGACTTCCCTGAGAAGTTGGCATTAAGCTGAGGCCTCAATGATAAGCTAGAAGTGATAGAAACATTCTGAGCAAAGGGCAGTACAGATACAAAGGCCCTAAGGTATGTGCATTTTATAGAACTAAAAGAAATTCAATGTGGCTGATTCAGAGAATCAGAGGGATAGTGATGACCAGTAAGGCTGCAGTGAATGCCCAGATGCCAAAGAGTGTAGGGTTGTGCCTGGAACCCAGGCCAGATGAGATCTGGAGTTTATCTTCCCAGTAATGGGAAAAATATGGAGGATTTTAAGAATGATATTATTGCACCAGAAGTGACTTATATATATATATATATATATATATGAAAATGGGTTAAGGTGGTAGAGGAGGAAAGATACTGTTCAGAAGGCACTGAGTTATTCAGACAAGACATATTGGGGATTTGGACTGGAATGGTGGCAGTGAAGATAGGCCGAGGTGAACAACTTGTCTGAGAACTAATTAAGACAGGATGTCGTAATGAGTTCATGGAATGGAATGGAAAGAAGGGAAATGTGAAGACTGGACCTATTATTTTATTATGATAATTAAATAAATTATATATACATAATGCTTTGTAAACTGTAACCTAATGCAAAATCGTTGGGTACAATTATCTTTTAAAGTGGGACTTGCTATGCACTACACAGTATATAATAAGAAATATATGACATATTTAGCCTACTTAATAAAGTATTATTGCAACATTTTAAAGGTCCCCATTTATTTTAAAATGAGCAAGTCTATAGTACGACAGACTAAAGGAATTAAACAAAGATCCGTTGGTTAAGTGTACAGAAACCATTATTAATCTCTCTTTTGTTCATTAAATACACTCCAGAAATCTTATACTCAATAACACATTGTAAGTCCAGTATACATTTGGAAAAATCAGAACAACATTTCTTTAAAAATGTTAGGTTTCAACACTCCAATCCGCCTTCCCTTCATGTAATTACTATTAATGAGGTTTCACTGTTCTTATTTTTCTGTGCATTCTGTATGTACCCACAATAGACCTATAATATTTAAAAATTTGTCTGAAATTAAGAGCAATGAATAAGCAAAAAATGATATTGGAAATTGTCATTTTAAAGCATCTATTTTATTTTTTAGAATAGATTTCTTGAGATATAATTCATTTGCCATAAATTCACACTTAAATAATGAACAGTCTAGTGGTTTCTAGTTAGTCACAAGAGTTGTGCAACCTTACTAACGGGTTGCAGAACATTTTCCTCACCCCAACAAGAAATCCCACACCCACTAGCTCTCAATCTCCATTCCCAACTCCCTTCCAGCCCTTTTGCATCGATAATCTTATTTTTTTGACTTAGGAATTTGCCTACTTTGGACACTTCTATAAATGGAATCATGCAATATGTGACCTTAGTGAGTGAATGCTTTGCCTTAAGATAATGTATACAAAGTTTATCTATGTTGTAGCTAAATGACATTCCATTGTATAAATAGCTCTGTTTATGCATTCATTAGTTTATGGGAATTTGAGTTATTTTCAGAGATTAGGAATAATGCTGCTATGAACATTTCTATACATGTGTTAGTATGTATCTGCATTCTCAACTCTCTTAGGTATACACCAAGCAGTGGAGATTCTGGGTTATGTAGTAATTATATTTCACATTTTGAGGAACTGCCAAACAGCTTTCCAATCCTGCTAGCAAACTGTGAAGGTTTCAAATTCTCTACATGCTTGCCAACCTTTATTGTCTGTCTTTATTATAGTCATCCAAGTGAGTGTGAAGTAGTATCTCACTGTGGTGTTGCTTTGCATTTCTCTAATGACTAAGAATTTTGAGTATCTTTTCATGTCTTTAAAGGCCATTTGTATTTTTTGAGAGATGCAAGATCCTTTGTACAATTTTTAAAATTGGGATATTGGTCTTTCTGTCGTTGAGTTGTAAGAATTGTTTATATATTTGTGTATAAGCTTCTTATCAGATACATGATTTGTGAATCTTTTCTCTCATTCTTTGGGTTATTTTTTATTTTTTTGATGATGTCTTTTTAAGTTTTATATATCGACAGTCAAATTATCTATTATCTTCTTTTTTTTTTTTAATGTCACACAATTATTTTTTAAAGAACCTGCAGTTTATACACTAGATTTCAGCACTCAAACTAATTGAGATGGTCAAGTGAAAAGAAAAGAGGAAAGGATGAAAAGAATGACTGTATTTTATTTTTCCTTCTTTAATCTCTTAAAAAAATATTTTCATGTGCAGTTATTACCTTACAAATACACATCCATCATTCTGATAAAACAACATCTTCCTTATTTCACATGCATTTCAGTAGTTGGGGTGACTAGTTTATATTCCACTCATTTTCCCTGCATTCTTATGTAATTAGGCGTTACCTTTGTCAATGAAAGTACTAATTCCATGTGGATTAAATGATCCTTTGTCAAAACCATCACTGATAGATAGTGCCTGGGCCTTTGTTTTTTGTTTGTTCATATCAATCAAGAAGATTTGTCCTGGTTCATCAGGAGCAAAGCTTGGCATGCCTGGGTATTTTAACCCCTGAAAAAGAAGAGAGGGAAAAAGAGGAGCAGATACATATAACTATCAAAATGTTTTCATATGGAAGCTAGAACCTTAAAGTCTAACAAATGTTCCAATCCATTTCTTTCAGATTTCTGGAATTTTTCACTGTCAGCTGTTACCACTATCCAATCTGAGCGATGACTAATATCACAAAAGCTGCTGGGAATGGGAATATGGGAAGAATCCATATTCACTTAAATGTCAAGAAAAGGGTTAAGCCAAAACGTGTAATGCAGGAAACAAAGCTATGTAACTTTTTTTAAAGATTTATTTATTTATTCATATGGAATTGGGGTACAGGCCAGAGATGTGGAGGGTGAGAGGATTCACCAGAGACAGAGAGGGGAGCAGAACAGGCAGATTGATGAAGTACACTGCTGAGGGGAGCAGCAGGTGGGTGAATCTCTTCCGGGGCAGGCAGGGATCGAACTCATGCGGAAGTGGCTTTAGCTTCTCAGTGCTGTGCTTTAACACGCTGCGCCACCAGAGAGGGCCAAGGCTATGTAACTTTGTGTAAGTCCCTGGCCTGCCTTGCCTCGGGTTCTTCAAATTATAATGTAAATTGCTAAGATTCTTTACTTTTGACATTCTACAATAACCTTCCTTGATGTAGAGAGAAAGGGCACATGGTACATGATTTCACTGTATTGCTCCCATTCTTAGATCCATTATGCTGTGTAGTGGCAGATGGAATCATCCAAGAATTAACATAGCGTTGACTATCTCTGACCTACTTTACTCTTGTAGATGTCTGAAATTTTGGATATGACGTGACTTCTTCAAGTAGTTCAAAAAGTTCATTGGACGGTGGCTCTTTCTACTGGAAGAGCCAGCTATTGATCAACCAATAATAAACAACATCCTGATGCTTTGGGCCTGTTCTGCATTCCAGGTCACGGTATCAAACCTGGGGAGTGCTTCAACCAAGAACAATTACAAAACTCAGCCCAAACCTATCCTATATCCCTACCCTTTCCTTCTGATATATGTCTTTATCAATAAGCTTGAGTCTTTCTTACACCTGCATTTCTATTTATAATCAGATTCCCTTAAACCTACCTTCTCTAGCTCTCTCCTCTCAACTCTTGTTCTTTTAAACACACACATACATACTCATAATACTGTCTCTACCCCACTCTTGCACCCCAAGGGAATTGATCTTCAGCTTTGAACAACCATACCTACATCAAATTTTTCTTAGACTAGCCACTCTATGCCTAAATCTTATTGGAAACCTGACTTCCCTCACACATCTTGTGCTTCTAAATGAGGTGCTACTCATTCATCAGATGAGGTCTGGTTTTCACATAGGGTTAGTCTAAGATCAGGGTGAAAACTCCACCACAATTATCATTTCACCTTCAACCAAATGTTCGATATTGTTTAGTAATATTTTTTATCATTCTTACCAGTCATCTATTGCATTTCTCCAAGTAGCTAATCTAAATTAATCTCATTATTTCCCAAAGCAAATATCTTTTTCCTCTTTATTCTCAATGTATCACTTCCAATTTCTCTAATAAGTTATTCCATTCATGTGAATTTCTTGATTCCACTTGTCTGCCACTGTCATTCCTCACTTTTAGCGAAAATCCTCATTTTCCCCTCTTTTCTCAAGCACGGAGTATTCCTCTTCTGTTCTTAAGTTAACTCTACTGCCTGTTTATTTGGTTCCTGTTCTCCAGATCCTTAGAAATTACATCCTCTCTCTCTCTTACTTTACCACTTACTTTTGGCAAATGGCCAGACAAATAGCTTATTCTCCCATTGAAACAAATATTCTCCAAACTTTACTGGTTAAGGACATTGCTGTCCAGGTTGTAGAGTTCAGTCTCAAAATCTACGTTTCCTCCCATAGTCAATTTGTCATCAAGCTCAATGGCTTAGGTAATGGTAACTCTGGAAAAAAAAAATGTCAGCACTATCTAATACCATACCTTTCCTTTAAACTGGAGGGAAATTAAACCTAAGACTCGAATTGCCTACATCACTCAGCTTGCTAATTGCATAGAATATTTGCCACACCATAAGGAGAGTTTGGGCATTAGAGACTATTGTTCAGGAAGGCAGTTCACAAGCTCATGGGCATTGGCCACTTGGGTACATGCGAGGGTAAGAACTGCTAGCTGGTAGAAAGACTGGTTGCTTCAGAGATGGAAATGACCTAATAGAGAGATAGGGAAGGGTGGGGTATTGTAAACAATTCTGGTTTCGAGTTATTATCATGATAAATGAAACATTAAATGACTTCACTTATTATGGCTTCATAATAAATTGCTTACCTGGATTTCTGTGTAAGGAATTTGAGTAGGAATTTGTGGCAAATGATTGTAAACAATTCTTTGATTCTCTTCACCTATGAAAATGGTGAAAGTCACATGGAGGTGCAGGTATCTTTGTTTTCCCTACAGATTACAGGAATGTGTGAGCAGGCACTGACAGCCTCTACTGCTCTCATTCTCTGTCATGTGCGTTCCCTGACAAGTCAGTCACTTGTGTGTGCTGGGTTGTGTGTTAGGTGCTGAGCATGTGATGAATACTCTACAGTCCTGGCTTTAAGGAGCTGAAATCCAGCATTGAGGCAGCAAGCAAATGTGTTATGTACGAGCCTAAGTGCGGAGGATGTTGGGTACCACAGAAAGGCACCTCACCCAGGAGAGTATTAGGGAAGACTTTTCTGAGGAATACATGTGTCACCACAGTGAAATTTCATAGAGAATGGGAGATAGCTGGTTACATGTGAGAAGGAAGTAATCTTGCAAGCAAAAGCAAACAGGCCACATCCCATATGTGAGGAAGCAAGCTGCAGTTTGGCACCTTGAAATAATCTAACTAGCTATTGCAAAGAATTGCCCTCTAAATCAGCAGCTTCCACACATCTAGGATGGCAAGAAAGGGCATTAAAAGAAATAAAAAAAGAGCAAGAACTGAATTTATTTCTGTTCAGAAAGATTAAAAATAAGCAAAGAATGTCATCCTCAGCCTCTAAATACGAGTTATTTGTAAGTTTATAAAAAGAGCTCTGTTACTCAAAGCTTCATTGTCACATTTCTCATGGAATTACTTGTGATGAAAATCTATTCTGAGTAGTAATAATTTGGTACTTTTAATTCTAGTGAAAATAGAAAAGAAGAATATAGTATAACTACAAATACCATTTCTTAATAACAGGGAAATCTTCTAGCTGTAGTATAATCATTTTATAGTGAAATCTATATTGGGCAATAGAAAGCTTAAGTCAACAAGTTTTTCTAGGTAGCTGTGCTTTATCTTTGGCTTTGGAAGAATAAAACCAAAGAAATAAAAACCCTCCCACATACCCAACTCCACATATACCATCCCCAGTAGCAAATTAAAATCCAATGGAAATGTTGACTATCATGTATATACTTAAGAACTTAAGAGATTTAGGCCACTGAGGGGTATTACATGCCTGCCTTTTGGCCAAAAAGATTCAAATTTTAAAAACTCATGTTTCATGATATTTTATTGGCCAAAAATGGAATGCTAGACATGTAATGACAACAAGCAGAATCACTCTGAAAATAATCAAGTTTTTCAAAATCCTAGACTCCATTTCAGATTGCCACTGGCTTAACAGTAAGTACATAAGAATTTTCAATACCTGCACAACATATACATTTTAATTTACTGAAATTCAATGCCCATGCCCTGTACCCCCATAACCTACTGATAATCCCACACCTGGGAAGGTGGTTTTAAGGAATAACATGCAGGCTATCCTCTCTACCCATCTTGGAAAGTGATCAGCGTTTTGAGTTAAGTGATATGGTTAACATTTTGGTCACAAATACTTATGGAGCTCCAAACACAGACTGACAAGGAGAGAGGAATACTAGTTAGTGAGAAGATACTACAGAGGCTGAAACTCATTCAAACAGAACATTAATGGGAAGGAACAGCAACAGGACAAATCTGAAGATGAATCTTAGAATTGAAAGATCAATATACATTTGTCGAGACCCTACTGGGAATGTAACTGCCCACAAGGAGCTGTCCACCATGTGGCAGGCAAGCCTGTGGTGTCCTGAGTAGCCCTCCAGAATCTTGTTTCGGCTTTTTTTTTTTTTTTTAGTCAACTGGTTTACCTGCAGGTGGTATAGGTGTGTAAGAGTCCATCTGGCAGATGTAGTAGGCACCATTAACGTACTATCTATATAGTTATTGACAACAGCATCTGAGGGGCATGGAAAATACTTACACTAGAGATAAAAGCCAGCCCATTGGGAAGAATATCAATATCTTCAGAGCCATTTTCTGCAAAAGAAGTGAAGGATCAGAAAGATGCAAGTATGAAGGCATAAAAAATAAATCCCACCACTGAAACTCTGAACTTCCTTTGAAAACTACATCCACTTTTCAGCTATTTACCTGGGAAACTATGTTAACTTTTAGGAATCCTACAGGCATACTACTCTACAATAAAACCTGAATCAAATCCCTTAAATATTTAAGTTTCTTTTTTAGAACTCTATTTTTCAGGAGAAAAAGGCAGCAAATGATAAAATTGTGTCCTAGATTTATTCTTTAAATAAAAACTTCCAGGCCATGTCCTGAGAGATTCAGCTTTATTCCCCATGTAAGACTAATCACTCAATCAAGTGATAACATTTAGAAAGACATCAGTGGCAAGGTCTCTTAAAGGCCTCTCAGTCAAATATTTCTCCTCTTCCACCTTTCTGTCAAGGCTTAAAAATCTACTACTACCCAATCATATTGGGGAATTGAGTAATTGTTCTTTTTTATAAAGACGTGGTCTGAGTATGGACTATTAAATATAAGTGAATTTAAGACTTTAATAAAATCTTTCTGAAATTGGTCTTGAGCATTTTTCTATGGAAAGTGTCCATAAGAAATTAATTATGATTGAAGACAGAATGAGAAAAGAACCTTGCATAGCAGGGAATTGGACCCAAGCAGATGTGGCTAAGGGTAAAGGCAATGGCTGTAGCAAATTGTATTTCACAAAAATTTTGGAACCAACATGAAGAGTTCAGTCTTCCATCATGCAGCAATATCGGTAGTCTTCTCCCAGTTCTTCCAAAGAACATGACCTTTGGAACTACTTAGTCAGAAGGAATGGGGTAAAAGTGATCCACAGGACAGACAAAGCCACATCCATAGCTGCCTCTCTCCATAGATGCCTTTCTCTCCAAGCACCTAGGGAGGAGAAGGAAGGAATGGGAAGGAATTGGAAGGGAAAGGAGGTGAGAAGGAAGGGATTGGGGAGATAAATATGAATGTTGTCTAGTCTCTACTGTGATTTCAGTTCACAGCCTTTTGAGCTGATGCAGGAAGTGCAGAGATGAGCTGTCTCCACTAAGCTCTGCCAGAATTACAGATTTATGAGAGAAAAGATTGTTGCCATTTTATGTTACTAAGTTTTGGGTTAGTCTGTTCCCTAGTTATGTAACTGGAACATGTGGGGAAAAGGTTTCCTGGGGTAATAGGTTACTAGGATATCAAAACAATTGGGGGAAGCTAGGGAAGAATGCAAAAAATGTAGGACAAGGAAAAGAAAAAGCAAATTTGAACCAACAGATTAATGAAAAATAGGCAGAACAGAGATTGAATTATATTTACTCACTAAAGGTTGTAACAGACCCCCAACTAATGATCTGAAAATCAATCAAAATTTTTTATTTTCTAAGCATCCAGATCAGCCAGATTTGGCCATCAATGGTATCTTGACCTGAAAGATGTAGCACTATTTGCATGTGACATAACATGTAGCACTATTTGCATGTGACATACTCTAATTGAAACTGGATTCAAATGAATGGAAGGAAGCAATTCAGATTTGCACTGGATACAATACATTGATTCTTTTTTTAGATATTCTTCCATACTCTGAGCACAGGGTCTTGTTTTCCTTTTCCCTAAACTCCACCCCTCCTATGTCCTGAATGTGGATATTCACCAGCTCTGTCTTCCCTTGGCTCTTTCTCCAGTCCTGCATTTATTCCATGTGCACAATCAACAGGTGTGGGCTTTTATCAACGCGGTTGTGTTTCTCTTGACTCACTTGCTCCATCCATGAGCAAGTACTACACAATTCTCATGTCTCCAGAACCCCTCCCAAGCCATACTGGCTGTGCCCACAGGAGGAAAGCAGTGCATCTTTGCAATAGTGGCACCTCTGGGGAGTAAGAATTCCCAGGACACCCTCCTGAAAGTCCTCCCCCATGCACACATTAGCCTGTGTACAACATATCATTAAAACCCTACAGCTAAGTCTAAAATCAGTCTAAGGAATAGGACTTGACTGCTTTTTAAACTATCAATGCTCTCACTGCATGCAACTTTATTTCTTTGGATTGCCATTGTTCCCTACAGGCATCCTGAGAAAGGGTCACACTGAAACCTTAGTGTCAATATGACCATCATTTCACATCTTGGAGAGAAGGTCCTGACAGCCAGCTAAGAAAATAAACGGAGTCTATTATGGATTTGAAACATGTCTTATAAGCTACCAGAGGGGCCAAAGGAAAGAGCAGTGACATAGAGATACCAAATAGAATGGTTACCTGCTTAAGATCCTGCCCAGGGAAAACCTAATAAAGGTATTCATATTTCAAGTGCAGTTTTAATTAAATGGCAAGGCTAGCCAAGTAACTTCAAGGTTTAAACAATCCTTGACTCGGAAAGCCTTAGAAAAGAGATGGGCCTACTATACAGAGATCTATAGTGGTATGAATTATGAAATATAGGGCTATTTCAGATTTCAAACTTCCCAAAAAAGGATTCTAGGAAAGAAAAAAGGGTTTCTTCCACCAATAAAATTAACCACAAAAGTCTAAATTTGGAGGAAGAATCAATCACAAATCAGAATTTTCCCCCAGCTCTGTTACAGCATACCACACAGAAATCCTTCAGGGGGTTCCCATTGCTTCACAAAGCCTTCCACTCATCAAATAGTTGGGTCATGGAGTACTTGAAACTTATCTCTGGATTATTTAAGCCATCTCTCTAATTCTAGACAGTTGGTAGCCAGCTGAGCTAAAGGGAGTTGGAGTTCTTTGTGAGTACCTGTTTACTCTGCATAAGGAGTTCTAGGAGGTTAGAAGTTCTGCAAAAAGAACCTCTTCCCAGAACGGACTCCTGTTCTCTGAGGATGTGTACATGCTCCCTGTTTTACTAAAAAAAACTTGTTCCAGCAGTAATTTATCAATCTATATAACCATAAACACATTTGCACACTATTTTCTTGTTCCTTTGTTCATATCTTTAATATAAGCGTGAACTAGGAGAGTGAAAGGCGAGCTGCTCTCAATTGCAAATTCATTTAGACTCTGAGTCTTCTTTAATAGCAGAGAACTCTGTTGGTTGTCTGGCTATCTACAGCAGTTTACTCAGCATACAGAGTTCTGGGAGTTTAGAAATCTAGATCCCTAGGTAAGTAACTTCACTCTCTGTGTGCCAATTTCTTGATTTGCAAAGTACAGACTGCAACACACATCCTACAGTTTGATTAGAGGGTCATACAAATGTCTGTAAAGGACTTAACAGAATGTTCTTAGACAATCAGCCTTTTGATATGGCACCATTTAAATATATATACACACACATATATACATATATACACACACATACATATATACATATATATATACACACAGAGATCTTTCTATATATAATGTATATATGGTGTTATTATGCTATTAAGAGATAATTTATGATCATTCTAACTTGTTTAGTTCTCCTGATACAAAATGTACTTATTTCTTATAACTACATAAAAGAAATAACCTGACAATATTTTCTTTAGCCAGTTTCTAATCATTTAAGTTCTTCAAACTATCTGTAATCAAACTGTTTGTTGGTCTGTCTTACAATCTTAGCATCATTTTAGTTTCTGAAATCTGTTTGAATTATTCAACTACAAGGCAATCATCTTGTCTAACTGTTCTTCGAAATTACTTGCCAAGTTCACATCTTTGAAGAGACATATATAGTAAATATGCACATTTCTCCACAAACAGCAAGTCAGTGTGACATTTCCTTATTTTTAAAAATCATTAAATCTGACCCTAAGCCTACATTCCACCAAACTAGAAGAAAATTCTGAGTCATTACTGGGTCCCCTTCTGCCAAAGTTGTACAAAGATGATAGGTGGAATGTTTCAACACCAAGCAGAATATTTAGGCAAGTCCATGCCACATTTATGCTACATTAATTACCACTGAAGTACACACTGTCAAGCCCACTTAGTCTCTTTAATTCTGCTACATGGGTGCTCTGGCTGGACACACAATACAAAGGATTCAGCCACCCTAAATAAGCCATATGACTGTGCCTTCTGAGGTCTTATTCTTCACCCAGAATGCTGTGCAGAATGGGGCAAATATGCCCGTTCTTTAAAATTAAAACCCTCATGTTCTTATCCTTTCTGTACCACAATACTTAGAAGGACTTTGAAAGTAAAAGTCAGTAAGGAGTTTGTTTTTCATTCCTTCTGCTTTCTAGTCAGCATTGCAAATCTTTGCTAAAACAAGAGTGCCTAAGTGTCAGGCTATGTTTTGGAGCAGTTAGTGGGGAAAGACAGAAAACCAACATCAAAAGGGACTATTATTCTTTCTAAGTGTATGTAAAGAAAAATAACATGCTAACTCTGTCACAATAATGTATCTTGTCACCCTGTGATGTACTGATAAATAAGTCATAGCCTTAGACCCCAGGAGCTTACAGTTTGAGAATGAAAGAAACAATAATCCCTGCTAGCAATAAAGGAAAGCAAGAGGCAGATGTTGCAAGTGATTCAGTTTCAGATGCTGTAAGAGGCCATAGGTAGAAGAGGAATGTGGAGCTGATTTCAGCCAGAAGAAATGAAGGACTCAGTAGAGAGAATTTCACAAGCCAAAGTGTCCAGTGAAAGAACATGTTCCCAGAATGGTGAACAGAATCTGGTTGGATTTTTTTCTGGTAGCAACATCAGGGAGAATGGGCGGCTTGGAGTATGACTCAGTAATAGTGCTGAGTAGGTGGTATCAGCCCTGGGAAGGGGGCACAGAAGAGGGACATGCCAACAGGTCTCATGGAGCAAAGGGCTCCTGGATTTTGAATGCTTTGAGAATGGGGGTACCACGCCTAGGAGACATCTGTAAGTGCTGGCTGTGGCTGGGGATGTGAGGGAGGAAATGACAGAAATATAAAGTAGCTTTCAGACTGGAAAAGAAGGCCTGTGGTTTGAAGATTGGAGATTTGGCTATGGGTTTTCAATTAGTTTTTTAAAAGATGTCTCAATATGCGCTGAGGTTCTTGAGAATCAGAACTCTTATTGCTTTTGGCACTTGAACTTTGGAGGTGGTGATCTATGAAGCTAGGAATGTTATCAAGGAAAGGAGAGATGAAAGGATAAAATTGAGAAAACAGAGGGGACAGAAGGAGAGTTTAGTAGGGCCTCGCCACTGAGTAGTAGTGCCCTGTATCTAAATGAGGTATTGGCTATAGGGCAGAGGCCCCCAAGAAGGGGGTTGGAGGAGTCAGAGGGAATTAAATCAGTTAGCCAGCTCAGTTCAGTGGATGGCCACCTAGAAATGGTGCCAGTCCCTACGAGTACTGTCACATACATACCAAGCCCCTCAATAAGTTGGCAGTGCTGGGGTTCTATTGGCTCCAGTTCTCGATTTGCATTAATTGTCTTTCTGTAAAAGATAAAACCACTGTGGATCAATGAGTAATATCTAAAATCAATGTCAAAGCATGGCCTTTAATCACTTTTATATTCATCAACTCTTCTTCACTTATGGATTTAACATGCTGATGAATAATTGAAACTATAGATAAGTAGGCATCTCCTTTTATATATTTACACTGGACACTATGTGAGTAACTCACCTGTATCACCTAACCTTACCCAGTGATTATCGAAGGACTAAAACACAATTATACATGGACATCACTTTGCTGTCCCAATCAGTGACACTAATTTTTTTCTAAAGAGTTATTTATTTGTTCATACAGAACTGGGGTACAGGCCAGAGGCTCAGGGGCGGCGAGAGGCTTCACCAGAGACAGAGTGGGGAGTAGAACAGGCAGATCTATGAAGTACACTGCTGAGGGGAGCAGCGGGCGGGTCAGGAGAGGTCTGCCTCGCCATGTGGTCACCTCCGGGGCAGGCGGGAATCAAACTCATGCGGAAGTGGCTTTAGCTTCTGAGTGCTGTGCTTTAACCGGCTGAGCCACCAGGGAGGGCCAGTGACACTATTTAATAGCTGAGTGCTACTAATCTAAATGTACAAAATATGGGAATATTTAATTTCTGAAAGCATTGTCCATTATAAAGCTGCTCTTTCTTCCCTTAATTCCATATGAACTTGCTTTTTGGCCATTTTTCCAAGTTTGCTTTCCCAAAACTCTATAGGGTCATCTAATGGTTAAGCCATGTAGCTTTTGCTTTAACTTTAACTGGTGTTTAACATGTTATGCTAACTTATTAAGTAAGTAAATTCATTAAACTGACTACAGTTTCAATATTTTTCAATATTGTGTTCTTGTTTCCACAGTGAAACATTCTCCTACCTGAATCTCCTAAGTTTTTTTTAATTTTTGTTAAGTTATATTCAGACTCTACTTAGTTGTATCTCACTGTTACTTTAAATCATATGCCTTAGATCTACTCTGTAATTATCATTTTTAAGGATTCTCTCACTTGAGTGCATTGTGAGCAAATTTAACAATAAACACATTCAGTCTGGAAAGTATTGCCAGGAGGATCAGGTTCCTCAGCAGATTCTTGGTGTGAACTGCTGAGGGGACCAGGGCTACTTAAGGAAATTAAAAAAACAAAGCAACCCAAGGGTAACCCAAAGTTAATGCAAAATCCACTGAGAGATGCACATCACCACCTAACATTTCTTCAGCTTAACCTAGTTTGTCCTTAAATATTTCTGAGATGGGCCCTCCCTGGTGGCGCAGCGGGTAAATGCACAGCACTGAGAATCTAAAGCCGCTTCCTCATGAGTTCGACTCCCGCCTGCCCCGGAGGTGACCACATGGCATGGCAGACCTCTCCTGACCCACCCGCTGCTCCCCTCAGCAGTGTACTTCGAAGATCTGCCTGTTTCTGCTCCCCACTCTGTCTCTGGTGAAGCCTCTCGCCACCCCTGAGCCTCTGGCCTGTACCCCAGTTCTGTATGAACAAATAAATCTTAAAAAAAAAAAAAAAATATTTCTGAGATGGCCATCAACACCACTAGGTGTCCCATTTTGAAAAATGCGATTATCTGTCAACTGGCCTTTTCTAATCTGCAAATCCTGTCATCTGGGTGATTTCTGTAATCCAGTACTCCTGGCCCTTTAACTTGATCTGGGCAAGATGCTGAGTGAGTCCTAAACATCCCCACCCCTCCCTTGAGACCAGTGCTCCCAACAGAGGTTTTTGGAGAGCAATAGGTGAAGGGAGACCTAGAAAATAAAAGCGGGGTGCATTTCTTTAAAAAAAATCAGCGGGGACATTTCTGCCCTACCTTCTTAGGAAAAGCAAACAGTCAGTTCACTTTTCACTTTAGTGCTCTTTAAGGGGAGTGAGATTGTAAAACTGCTCTTTCCTACCTGACAAGCAGCTGGCACAGAGCATTTCTTCATCTAACTTTGTTAAAGGAGAGAAAAGAACTGAGGACGCCCCCATCAAGATGCCAACTCACCTAAACGCTACAAGCCTCTCCCCGAGTAGGGCCAGGAAGGCCCCCAGCAGGGTCAGTGTCACCAGTTTCCCCATGCCTTGTGCTCCCCGCGACTACTAGCTGGCGCCCAGCGCGCCAGGTCCGGCCCGGCGAGTGGGGTGGGCTCCGGCTCCTCCCTCTGATTGGTGTCCGCCCTGCAGCCTACGTCAGGGACAGGTGCGCCGCCAGCACGTAGCCGTGTGGTGTCCAGGCCCCGCCCCGCCGCCCAGAGTTCAAGGTCTCAAGGTCAACTTTTGGCGTTCCTTTCAGAGTAAAAGAGGGATGGCCCCCCCCCCCCCCCCCACACACACACCACACACTCCTGTTTTTCCTCCATGCAAGGTTCAACTTATAGAGAGCGAACCTGGAGCAGTGGGTTAAGAGCTGGTGATTTTTTGGCAGTTGTGGTAAGAACACAGCCGCATTGTTAGTGGGATGATGGAGGGAGTTTGTTGCTAACAGCAGGGCGGAATTCTATCTCAACTCCTCAGAAAGACTGAAGGGGTCAGGCAGAGCCTGGGGTTAGAGTTCAGAGCACCAATTTGATTTCTGGCAGAGCATTGAGTGAGGTGAGAGGGAAGGTTACTTAGGATAAACAAAGATAATCAAAGAGAAATATTTCTCCAGATAGTCAAGGACTTAGTGGAGGTGTAAATAAAATTGGATTTTTATTGGTGGATAAAGAAAATTCAGGAGAAGGGAAAGAAATAGAGTAGGAAACAGGAAGAAGAGCAGAATGATGGGGAGGGATAAATTCTCTTTGGGAAGCAGAACTTTCAAAAGTTCTTTCTCTGGGTCTTCAATTCCTGTCAGGAGAAGAATGCAAGGTCTGGCTTGGAAAGAAAGTGGCTAGGCTTGGGGAAGACTTCTCGAGGTTGGGTAGAGCAAATAGTGGCTTCAGGCATCAATTTTCATTTTCCAACAAGCTAGAAAACGAATAATATTTATATTTAATTCAACGGAGTATTTATTTATTGCAAGAACAGTGCTTTGATCTGGAAATATTAAAAAATTAAAGGTGGTTCTCAGCATATGGGATAAATGATTGTTATATGAATGCCTAATTATGGTATGAAAAATGAAGAAAAATGAAGCCTGTCAGTTAGGCAGCACTGCTGTGGACCTGGTGTTAGGCTTAGAACTACACCTATGTACATTAACTCTTATTTCTTAGTATAAGCTCTGAGATGGGCGACTTTCCAATGTTATAGGCAAGAAAACTGGTATAGACTGGCTGTGTAATTTGCCCTACATCACACCGCTGATGAATAGTAGTCAGGCAACCTGGGTCCAGAGCCAGTGCCCTCACTATGTGGGCTCTATTAAAGTTGTGGAAGGTCTATTATACAGTCACCTCTAGAGTTATATTAATAAGATATTTGTTTTTAAGGTGAGTCATTTTAAACTAATTCAAGCAATGGAGGAATTCAATGCTGTTTTTATTAGGACTTGGAAACAGAGAAATGAAGAAGGGAAAAGTGCTCCCAAAGCTTAGGGCTCAGAAGACATAGTATAGGCATGTGTGCAGAGTTTGGGGCTCAAGCTGTCCCAGTTTCAGTCCAACTTGACTATCTTTCTGACACTTTAGATTGTGCTTTAAAAGAGCATCTACCTGTGGTGGCACAACAGGTTAGGACACAGCACTGAAAGCTAGCTAGCTGCAGCCACTTCAGTGTGAGTTCTATCCTCAGCCCCATGCCACATGGCATGGCAGACCTCTCCTGACCTCCCCACTGCTCCCCTCTGGCAGTGTACTTCATCAGTCTGCCTGTTCTGCTCTCCCGACTCTGTCCCTGGTGAATCCTCTCACTACCCCTGCCTCTCTGGCTTGTACCCCAGTTCTATATGCATAAATAAATAAATCTTAAAAAAAAAATCTACCTTATAAGTGACAATGTCAAATGTCACTGTCAAGTGTCTGATACTGTGCTTGGTACAGTAAGAAGTCAATAAACATCAGTCAGCTATTTAAACCTGAACCTCCATCTGAGGTTTTTGTTTCATTATGGAGAGAGATTCCTATCTTATTAATCACTCGGTCTCCCAGTGTCAGCCACAGAACTTTGTACTTAATAGTTGCTCTGTAAGAATAGACTGGAGGAAGTTGTGAATTTAGGAGAATGAAATTTGGGAGAATAAAAAGAAATGAATGATGAATAGTAATACTGTATTAGGCATTCTACATGCTTTTTTGCATTTTGCTTCTTATTAAACTCTTTTATAATAAGCATAGTAATGCATAAGAGAGGTTATGTAATAGCTCACTGCAGGTTACATAACTAAGAAGTGTCAGGAACTCCATTTGGACTTAAAGTCAGATGACTCTAGTGTATGTTCATTGCCAGTGTATTTCCTGCCTCCCAGCTTAGTCTGAAGAGGAGATAAGAAAAGTTGAGCAGTTGATTAAAGTGCAATGATATATATACACTGCTTAATGTTTCTTCATTGCAGGTACAGCTTATGTGCTTGCCCTTGCTAACTTGAAATCTTAGAAGTGGCTAAGTGTCATTTAAATTTAATTGTCAGTAATTCAAATACCCAAATAAATAAATTTTTTAATCTATTATTAAAAAATTTCAAACTTTGGGTCCTCCTGGTGGCTCAGTGAGTTAAAGCTACTTAGCATGAGCTCGATCTCAGCCCTGGAGGTGATCCACACGGCCCAGCACACCTCTCCTGACTCACCTGCTGTACCCCTCAGCAGTGTACTTGGTTGATCTGCCTGTTCTGCTCCCCACTCTGCCTCTGGTGAACTCTCTCACCACCTGGGCACCTCTGGCCTGTATGCACCCCAGCTATGTATGCATAAATAAATAAATCTTAAAAAAATTCAAACTTTGGAAACCACTCTAACAAGTATCACAGTCTAAAGCCACATCTGGAAATCTTAACTCTTTAGCTTAAGATATTAAAAACAATAATTCATTGTGAATCCAGTTTTCTCTAAAACATATGGATTACCAACACATCATTTGTGTAAGTGGTTCCAAGTCTCTCTAGAGTAAGAGCAAAAGCAAGAAAACCAACATCCTCACACTGTGAAGTGGGGTCCTGGTTGTCTTAGCCTATTGGGGCTCCTGTAACAAGGCAGACAAAAAATAATAATAAACTGTATGGATAATGAACAACAAATGTTAACTTTTCAAAGATCTGGATACTGGAAAGTCCAAGTTCAAGGAACAAGCAGACCCAATGTCTAGTGAGAGCCACTTCCTAAACCGCCATTAGTTCTGTTCATGGAGCCCCACCAGTATCATCTAATCAATTCCCAAAAACCTCCACCTAGTAATCCAGTCACACTAGGGGTTAGAACTTGAACATGAACTTGCAGGTAACACAAACCTTCAGATCATTTCACTGTCTCTGGAGCAATATCATGGACTATGCCTACAATATTGATCAAGGAGGATTCTACTTCTTGAGCTGAGGTGGGCTGAGTCCTCCCTTCAGAACTCTGTGGTATACTAAACCTTTAGGTACATGCTTGTGGAAATACAAAGCTTAGTTACAGAGACTAGATCTGCAATTTCTGAGTTTACTGAACAGATCACAGTATGATTTTCATGCCTTTAGGTAATACACATGTATGACAGGCTTGGGTTTGAGTTTTGTTCTTATTGAACCTTATTATCCCAAAGTGTGATTGTGGATAAAGTAACTGGTAGTCCTCATCCACAGCTAATCTATTCTTTGAAGGCTATTAATTGTCATTCTGTAAAATATTCTGACAAGAAACAAAATTGACTTCATCCGGAGACCACTAAGTAACTTAGTGTCATAAAAGGGGCTTATTGTTATTGATAGAGCAGGGCACATTAATTCAAAATCTTGAGTTCCAGAAATCCCATATTGCCTTTTCTTTTCTTACATGTACAATAGGATTTTTTTTCGATTAGCTATTATGGCTCAATGGAGTACTATTTGGCAAAACAGTAAGTAATGCAAGACAACATATGGATTTAGTAAATCCAATATCTATAATAATAAAAATGCTGCTGGGCTTCTCTGGGAGAGCAAGGGTTAAAGTCTCAGCATTATCAAACTATCACCAGCCACTGATGCATGAGTTAGATCCCTCTCCAGGAAGCTAACCCACATGGCAAAGCAAACCTTTTCCTATATCCCTGCTGTTCCCCTCAGCAGTGTATTTCAGTAGATCCATCTGTTCTGCTCCCCACTCTGTCTCTGGTGAATCCTCTCATCCTCTACACCTCTGGCCTATACCCCAGTTCTTATATGCATAAATAAATAAAAAGAAATCTTTTTAAAAAATGCTATTCGGGGGATGCACATGTGCATGATATATCCTATTGTATAAAAAGTAGCAGGATTATATGTTGTGCACATGTCTATTTGTGTATGTGTATATATGTGCTTGTATGTATATGTGTATACACACACATAAGTAATCTAGACACAAACTGAAGAGTAATTACAAGTGAGAGACCTGAGTGTGATGGGGAGGTCAGTGACTACGGAAGGAGCCTTTGCTTTTATTGTATGAGCTCCCAAACAGTCTGAAAATTTTAAGGCATGTATCTTTACCATGTATATAATCATACAATCTTTCATTCACAATGATCACACGTGTCATGAGTCATCTCCAGGAAAATAAGTGGTGGTAGAGGGAAAACAGCAAGCCAAAAGTGATTATGTGTCAGTGAAACTGTTTTTAGAGAGAATTTGTATTTTAGAACATTCAGAAATGTCCTAAACCAGAGGAGCCAACTTTAAAAGCTTCGGTGTAGTTGACTACCTATCACTGATACATGACTTGGGCTGCTTGGAGGAGAAAAAAGCTAGTTGACCACTGATTTACATCATTCTACAACAGTAATATACTTGAATTTAAATAAAAGTCTTAATTTCACCTGAATAAGGCTAGTCATGAAGCCACATGTTGATTGTTCTGCACTTTGTCCAGTTACCTTCTGTAGCCCACCCCGGGAGAGACCTATACCCACTTAGGCCTTCTTGTGCAGCCTGCAGTGTGCTGGGAATTGCTTGGGTTGAGTATCTTTAGCAGCAGAGAACATCAAACTGAGATTTCAACATGCAAATACCAAGAGAATAGGGGGAGATATGTGGGGCCCTACTTTG